TAGTACATAGAAACTTTCCTTCCAGACCAAGACCAGAATATATACCATAGAAAAGTACAATACAATATCGTGATATCAAAATCTTCAAGAACAATACCTATAATATCACTGTATACAGAGTTTATCTTCAGTGAACTCCATCCATCAAAATGATCAGTAGAACCTGCCTAAAAATGTTGACTTGTCCTTTACACGTTGGCCTTGGCCCTGCCAACTCTGATCTCCTGAACTGTTCCAGTTGGTCATGAGGCTAACCATTATGTAAAATGACCAATAGAGAGTCTTGGGGAAGAAGGCAGGAGCTGGGCAGGAATTACTTTTACAGGAAAAATTAAGATTTGTTCCTGTTAACACAGTTGTTTATCATATGCCTTAATTGTCAAAATTTGTTACAAATTCAATTTAAAGACATTTTCCTACTCTGACCCTATATGAAATTAATAGTTGATAGAAGAATACTAGAAAAATATATGTATCCTGCAGAAACCACATCAATCTTCCTCTGGGTCTGGTCCCATAATAAACGACAACAAATAGATAATGTGATCTCAGTCGAAGGGGAGGGTTAGAATACAAGCAGATCAAGTTGTTGGCAAGGGGGTCAAGGGATTGGGTGTCCAGCACGTTCTCCATGTTTCCCTCCTAGTTGGGCGCCAAGCAAGGGTCACATAAAAGGCCTATCCCGGGGTGGTTTCTTCTGAACTATGCTAGTCACCTGTAACAGGATCACTTTACTTCACATTTATGGCGTACCTTTACTCTGTGTTGTTTTTGCTAATGCTCTGGGACAAGGCTGAGGTTGCCGTCAGGGAATACTCGACCTTAAGGTGGGCCACTACTCTTAGAAATGAACGTACACCATATACATTTGCGCAACAACTGTTCTCCAGTTACTCTCCGTTCCCTGTGTAAATGTACATCTTCCCACTGTTGCTTGCAATTAGGCAGTGCCGAACACTGACTACGGCCACCTGTCTAGCGTTTTCTACTACCAGTCTCAGGTAGCAGAATGGAACCCCACCATGCACATAGCGCGGGCTCAAATGTGCACTTGACTTTTATTCTCAAACCTCCGTACCTCTGTACAGGATGGGGACCTCTGCAATGCAATACCACTCCCGTTGCTATGTGAGACAGAATGTGACGTAGGAAGTGCCGACAACTCCCTCACAGCTAGAGGATGACCCACCTATAACAGGTACATATTTCCGACAGGCTGCCTGCTGACTGTACCTCCATTGCTCATGGCAACCACATGTGTGACTTGCACTGAGATAACTCTTCACGTGCCGACTCTTCATACTGCATATGTTAGTGACCCAAAACTGTAGCTCTGTGCCAGTTACTTGCAATGCAATCCTTTATATGACTTCAGACCAGGCAGAAGGCAAATTTTAACACTTTACTTAATACAGTTCAAAACAGTACAGAGTCCAACAAAAGAACAGCCTTTTTCTTAAGTTCCTAATCCTACTTAGCCTATGTGCTTACCCCAGGCACCTGCAAAGGTTAACTCCATGGGTTTTTAGGTCACAAAATGGCATTCCCCAGCAGCTGGTGTCTTCAAGGAGATCCGCAGGTGTGTATCTCTCACATCTTCAGCACTTATGGACCTGCAGCAGGACCCCCTCGCCTCTTTGTGCCTTCCAATAACAAGAATTCTGGGCTCTCTCTTCTATTTCCCATTCCCCTGGGGCTCTCAGGCTCCAGACCACTGTCCCTTTTTATATCCACAGGAGCACTGGGCCGGACCCAATGATTGTGCCAAATGAAAAACATGGGAACTAAGTTGACCCCAACCCTCTTGTCTGGGGCAGCACCTAACTAGCTAATTCTAACCTGCTTACAAACTGACTGGCCAAAACTGATTGAATGGTTGACATATCCTTTAACCCCCACCAGTTGACCACTTTACTTGACTGGTTTTTGGCATAATGTTATGTGACCAGTGGTCAGAGGGAGATAACAGCGGTGGTTTCTTTTATCAACTATATATTTTGGTAGCCAGTATAGTGTGGGGTCCTTAATACAGCACAGTATAAAGATGTTTATTCCTGGTAAAGAAAAAAGGCACTGCTGGCTTTCCCTACCATACTTTGTTGCACTGCAACACTTCTTGTGCCCTTCAAAACCTTTATATAATCCTGATTTCAGCCTGTTATTGTGTGGTTCCATGTAAACTATATAGCTCCATGTTTTGCTTTCTAGTTTGCTTTGCATGTCGAAATTATAAAAATGCACACATGAATGAGAATAATGATTCCTATTGAAAGGTCATGAGCCATTTTCCTACTACTGAAAGTGCCGTGCTATTATAGACATTCAGTTCTCCGAGACAGGCTCATTCTGGTTTTCAGGCCATTATCGTCATTGAAATAAGCAGAGCTGTTTCTCAATTCACAGGTATTCTCGTATATTATCCTTTTTTATTGGGTGATTATACCATTTTCAGAGGTTTATGCTGTTTTCTACTTATAATCTCACACAGAAGCACATCATAGTGATACTGTGTATTTTAGTCAGATTATGTTGTGTTCTTCTTTCATTTGTACAAAGAACACAAACGTTGTTCTACCTATTAGGATCTGTCTACATTGTATTACATTCAATATGGCAACATATTTTTAGCTGTACTGCCATTTACTAGCTGAGTGTGTTTGGATACTACCAGTGCTGGTCATCATTGTCTAGCACATGTTGGCAAGACTTGGGATGGTAATAAAGAGGACCATGTGGTTGGAATTTAGTCTTTATTAGAGTGTTCAGTTTGTTATTTAGCCTCGTGTGCCCTTGCATGCACTAGAGTGCGCTTGTTTTTATTTTACCTGCAGACTGGAAGTAGCCACTTAAAGTGGTTATAAATGCTCATCTTGTTTTCTTTAAGAAAATAAACAAATCATACTTATCTGCTCTGTCCAATGGTTTTGCACAGAGTATTCCTGATCCTCCTCTTCTTGGGTCCCCCGCTGGTGTTTATGGCCCCTCCCCCTTGCCTAGTGTCCCCAGAGCAATCTGCTTGCTCTGGGGGCACTCATGCATGCTCGCTCCCAAGCCACCGTGTGTCTATGAGACACAAGGAACGTGGCTCAGTCCCCCCCCCCCCCCTCCTCACTGGCTATGATTGACAGCCTCAGCCTCATTGGCTGAGCCAATGTCTCAGCCAATGAGGAGTGAGGGACCTGGGAGAACATCCACTCTTTTATGTACATTGCTGGCTCGGGCTCAGGTATGTATTTAGAGTGGGGCTGCACACTGAAAGTTTTGTACCTTCGAGCATTGTATGCATGAAGGTAAAAAACCTTCAGCCTTTGCAACCACTTTAAGTTGTATGTAGACCATAACAATGAACTTCTCTTATTTATTTATATTTTTTCTTTTTGCATTAATATACTTTGCATGGTCTAGTGGTCTCCCTTTCCTCTACAACTACGCCTCTTTTGGTATGTTGTTTAGGTCAAATATTTTTTGTAAAAAAAACCTGTACTGAGAAATTAGATCAGCATTTTCAGAATTGGAACCTGTAGGTACACAAGCTTTATGGACCAAAAGAATCCCCCTCTGCTAGGATACTAGTGTAACTGTATAAATGACTTTATATGTGATGACTGTATTTCTGGATGTAAAAGAGGATGTCTAGTCAACGACTAAGAGCCTTTTTTTCTCTGTCACCTATAGGCACAAGTCTATTGTGCCTAGAGGTAAATCAGCCTCTGTATGATGCTATAGATCATAGTCTTCAGTGCTTTCTATGTCACTGAGCCAGAAGTATGCAGATCAGAACCTGACTTTACTCTGGCTTTCCTGACCTGTACACTTAAGTCAGTCAAAAAACTATTAAAGCCAGAGAATGTAATTATTGTGACTTCGAGCACAAAGAAATTCAAGCACTGTATGGCCAGCTTAAGGGTATGTTCACACTTGAGCAGGGCCTGTGTGTCTCGTTTGTGCGGGCCCAGCAGCTTATTCTTTTGAATGGGTTGCTGTTCATGCTGGAAAAAGTCCCTGATCCTTTTTTCAAAACACAGCTGCTCAGAACCAGATGGCACCATGTGTTTTCCAATGCATAGGGGTGCCATTAACAATCAGTGGCACTCTCGTGCATCTGTTAAAGAGCAACGTGTTTTTCCTACGGGTCAGGGAACCCATGCGATTACCACACGGTTTCAAACCTGCATATGTGTGAACCTGGGCTAACTCACTGATTGAAAGCTCCGATTTGAGGAACCTTTGTTCACATGATGAAATTTCTCTTAGGGAGCCCATGGTTTTGTGAAAGAGTCATGGTGGCAATACGTGTCTACTGGGGGTAGGCATTGGTTCTATATGGTGACCCCAACATTACTGGCAAACATGCTCCCTAGACTCCTGGAATCAGCAACTATTATTAACCGTTTTCCAGATGTTAACAAATCTCAAATGTTTACTTTCAAGAGAAAAAAGGTAGACGGTCATCTAAAATGACATGCTTTAGCATTTCATTTACTATTATTTATCCTTTCTAGAGTTCTTCTTTAACTACTAGTTCTTCTTTACCACGTTGAAAAATATCTGTGTTGCCTATTTTGTTTTTTAAATTATAACAGGATGTTACACATAGAAAAAAAAGCAAATGATTCTTGTGTTTTGCATATGGCTGTTCTGAATGAATGCTGTGATACATTTTACTGAGTATATAAACAGAAGGAAACAAAATTGAAAGTTTTTCCCCATAGTAACCATAAAGGTTCCAGGTGAGAGAAGGAAACTCATCTGAAAAGGTGAATATCGGCTTTAAAGATGATTGCCTGGAGTGCATCATTTCCCTATAGATCTAACCATCATTGCCCATTCCAGCCTCGAATCGTGTCTGTGGCTACCTTTATGATAATCTCTGTCCAAGTTTGTTCTGTGTCAGGAAATCTGCTTCAGTGGATGGTGGGGAGATGTAACACAGTTCAGAGGAATCCACACGTCTGTTGGAATTTTGCAGTCTAACCACGTGTGACTTTTCTGTTTTTCAGAAGTTGGAGGTAAAAAGTTAAAAAGCACGATCCAACGAAGTACAGAAAACTGGACTAGCAGTGGAGATGAGAAATTGGATGACCAGACAAGCAAGTCGAGAGTCTAACGATGGGAGTATGAACAGTTACAGCTCTGAGGGAAAGTAAGTCAATGTATAAATTGTACAATTAGAACAAGTGTTGGCAATTGTGAATATTATTATTATTATACAGGATTTATATAGTGTCAACAGTTTGCTCAGCGCTTTACAATATAATGGGAGACAATACAGCAACAATACAGTTCAATACAAGAGGGTTAGGAGGGCCCTGCTCCTTGGAGCTTACAGTCTAGGAGGGATATGTGTCCAATGATGATACGTCTTTGTGGAAATTGTATTGTTGGTTTTAGCAAAGTCCATTTGTGAATTGGTTGGGAGAGATATTCAGAACCCACCACATTGGTAGACATTGATGCACTATCCCCTCTCCCATGTGACATAACAGGGTGCCTCTTGACTGGCCCTGTGCTATTACGAGGAGGAGATTATTATTATTATTATTATACAGGACTTATATAGCGCCGACAGTTTGCTCAGCGCTTTACATAATGGAGGGAGACAGTACACTAACAATACAGTTCAATACAAGAGGGATTAGAGGGCCCTGCTCCTTGGAGCTTACAATCTAGGAGGTGAAGTAATGTACAGAGCTTTCATTACCAGTCCTGGCAGCTCAGCTGTGCGCAGGACTGGGGAAAGATGGTTGCATGCTTTTGAGGAGGGAGGGGGGCTAAGTGACCCATTTCCTTTGCCAGGGCATACGAAATGCTTTGTTTTCAAGTATAGGGCTTAAAGGATTAGTTCACCTTTTATAAAAAAAATAATAAATGCACATCTTTTTACAGGTAAAAAAAATGTGCATTTATTATTTTTTTTACATTGGAGCTTGTAAAGCATTGTACCCACGATCTGTTGATACGGTGCATACAGGCAGGCAGTTGCTGAAGTGCAGGAAGAATCAATGAACTATAAGAGCGTTCACCGGCGCCCTTGCAGTTCATTGAGAATTACAAGCTGTTGGCCATGGTGGCTGACAGTACTTGTATTTCATTCATTCATAGAACTCTGTGAATGAATGACTTGGCCATGTGGGTGGAGCCCCACATGACCGCTCTGTTTTCAAATTGTGACAGTGGGTGCAGAGAGAAGATCCCCCATCCGCTGTCAATGAGAGGGAGGATCAGAGGGAGAGGAGGCAGGAGCTGCAACATGTAACATATTCCACCCTAAATGCAGGTGGAACAAAATGTGAACTTAACCTTTAACAGGCTGTCATGCAATTCAGGAACCAATATGTTCTGTATAAAGTCGGTATAAAGTAGCTATAGAAAATATTCTTTCATTGACAAGAGGAAAGGTTCAAGAATCTTAGGTACCTCCTGTGCCTTTTATTAGCTATAAATAATAGGTGAAATTACAGTATGCAATGTCTCTATGAATTGGAGGTTCATTGCAAACAATATTCACCTGGAATCACTACTCTGTTTAGAATTTTAGTATTTCGTTTAAAGGATGTTCACTTTTCACAACGTACCGCAGTTGGGGTGGAACATGTAATGTTTTAATAAATAAGCAGCCCCCGAACCCCACCTGAGCCCCATTTGTGACAGCAGCTGGTGGATCTTCTCCCCACACCCACTATCACAATTTAAAAAGAGCGTGGCCATGTGGGGCTTTGCCCAACTGTCATCATCATTCATTCACAGATTTCTGTGAATGAGAGATCTGCAACTACCATCAACCCCTGTCGCTGATGGCTTGTAGTTCTCAATGAACTGCAAGGGCACTGGTGAGCACTCTAGTAGTTCATTTATTCTTCCTGTCATTCATTAACTGCCTACTTGTACAAGGTACGTGCAGACAGCTACACTGACAGTCTGCAGGAGCCTGACACTGGACTGCAATGCTTTACAGGCTCCCAATAAAAAAAATAATTGCACATTTTTTACCTACAAAAAGATGTGGATTTATAATTTTTTTAAAAAAGGTAAATTTAGCCTTTAAAACAAGTTGTGTGTCAAGGGCATCATTTTGACATTTCTGAGATTGTTCAGAACTGACATTTTGGCAACAGTTGACTTCCTTCAGACTTGCTTGAAGCAAATTTTGTATTCCCATAGACTTGTATGGGTATGAAAAATGACCAAAAGCCCTTTGACACAGGACTTGAATATGACAACACCAGGAGTTCCATTTTTAAGATTTACTATAAAAACACACTGAGAAAAAGATCAAAACATTCTGAAAGTTTTGAAGAGGCATTTCTGAATTGGACTTCTTATGCTTGTACTTGTGTTTTGTAAATCATTTATTCTTCACTTATGTATTTTACCTTTTACAAAATGAAAATGTGTTAATTTCATATTGTTATGATTATTGATTATGTATATGATATTTTTTTAATATCCATTTTATATCTTTCCCAAAGCTTAATATTTCCTGGGGTCCGGTTGGGTTCTGACAGCCAATTTAGTGACTTCTTGGATGGATTAGGTCCTGCACAGCTCGTTGGAAGACAGACCTTAGCAACTCCTTCAATGGGTATGTGATTGTTGTCCTTGGCAAACAATGTTGGAATTATACTGTGCAAAATGTTTTGTTTTATAAAAATGTGGGTTTTTTTTTAATGAAATAACAGTAAAAAAAATAGCGCTTCATATGGAAGCATTTTATAAATGTTGAAGATTGATTAAAAGATTACTGTATTTTTAGTTCCTTAAGGCCTCATTCAGACAGCCACTGGCACCTTTACTGCGTGCAAGAGGCATTTTTTGTTTTTGGCATCTGTGTACGGAGCTAGCTGCTTGCAGGCTGCATAAGGAAGTGGATGCAGATGCAGCGGCTGCACGGACACAGCTGCATGTCAGATTTGACAGGTGTGCAGTAGTTGATGCATGGCACTAAATGCAGACTGTCTGTGCTTGGGTCCACGCACCTACTCCTGCACATCTGTCAAATTTTGACATGCGGCTGCATCTGCATCCACTTCTATAGGCTGCTTGCACACAGCTGGGAGAAGATGCAGCACCTGTCTGAATGAGTCCTAATTGACACTCCCTTCCTCCCCAGCAGTCCCCATAGTCTTATACTCACCTGGCCTCGCCCCTGCTAGATTTTTCCTATGTGGTCAGGCAGCTCTCTGCGTGCACGAAAAAAAAAAGCCTTTATTAATTTTATTCATTCTGTCTGTCTGTCTGTCTGTCTGTCTATCTATCTATCTATCTATCTATCTATCTATCTATCTATCTGTTAGGCTTGTCTTTCTGCTTCGTAGTACTTCACAATACACTCACCGGCCACTTTATTAGGTACATCTGTTCATTTGCATGGTAACACAAATTGCTAATTAGCCAATCACATGGCAGCAACTCAATGCGACTTGCTGAAGTTCAAACTGAGCATCAGAATGGGGAAGAAGGGGGTTTAAGTGACTTAGAACATGGCATGGTTGTTGGTGCCAGACGGACTTGTCTGAGAATTTTTAAAAAACTGCTGATCTACTGGGATTTTCAGACACAACCATCTCTAGGGTTTACAGAGAATGGTCCGAAAAAGAGAAAATATCCATTGAGCGGCAGTTGTGTGGATGAAAATGCCTTGTTGATGTTAGAGGTCAGAGCAGAATAGGCAGACTGGTTTCTACATTCTAGAAAGGCAATAGTAGCCCATGTCAATATGGACCAAAATCTCTGAGGAATGTTTCCAACACCTTGTTGAATCTATGCCACAAAGAATTAAGGCAGTTCTGAAGGCAAAAGGGGGTCCAACCCGGTACTAGCAAGGTGTTCCTTATAAAGTGGCCGGTGAGTGTATATTTGCTCCTTCTTGCAATGCAAATCTGTGAGTTGGTTGACTCATTGAAAACAATCTATGGTATAGCTGAAATCTCAACTCCAGCCAAAACATTTTTTTTCAGTTTGGACATTGAAAGAGTTAGAGTCCCCATCAGGTTCTTATTGTTATGCATGTCTATCTATCTATCTATCTATCTATCTATCTATCTATCTATCTGTAATCTGTAAGACACATAATACACACCTGCCCTATAGGAATGAATAGGGAAGAAAGCTGCCTGGCCGGGAGACTTTGCAGCGGCAGCTTTGCTGGATGAAGGTGGGGGGGGGGCGGGGAAGATTGAGCTAAAGTATTGTCACCCTATAACATGAAGTGTCTGAACTGGATCACCAGGTATTCTTTTAATGAAAGTTGCAAATTGAAAAATATTGAAAATAGGCTGGGGAAATTCTTGTCCAGAATACCAAAATGTTCTCATAACACAACTATCCGGGAAATGGCTTATAAGGGTCTGTTTTGGTGGTACTGGGTACCAGCTCAAACAGCTCATGCTGTCCCAGATTACTATGACATGTGCTTCAGATGGTGTGGTCAATGTAGTGATGTACTACACACCCGGTGGTCCTGTCTCAAACTGGCCTCATTTTGGTCAGAACGTTTGGCCTCCTTCAAAATTTGTTGCATATAGGATGTGCAAATGGCTCTCCTCCACCATCCGATTCCAATCCTTTTTCTCCTACCAACAGCAATTGGCTACATAATTGTTTCTGGCTGCTAAACAAATGATAGCCAAAGTCTGCAAGAAGCCCACAGACCGTTTGCATGAAGTTAAGGAATGTACGAACACAGTATTCCCAATAACTGGCAGACTAAATTCCTCAGAATATGGGAACTGTGGATGCTTTTCCATCTTTGAGCTCTTCTAGCCTGAGTTATTGTTATCTTCTCAGGCTTTTATCTTTTACCCCCCCCCCCCCCCCAGTTTCTCCCATATTATTCCTATTCGTATCTCCTCCCCTACCACCCCTTCATCTCCCTGTACCTACGTTTTCAATCAGTGAATTAGGTCACCTAATCACACCTACAGGCAGGCCCTTTAGCAGTAATATCACATAGGTCCTGAATGTTTACCAAGGCAAATATTGTGTAGGGTAAATTAAATAACTGGTTATTTCTGTCACGTGTTTTAGGCCCTGCATGGGCCAAATAAAATGAATGTAACAGAAAAATTCCTGAAAATTTTCTTTTGAAATTACAATAACATTTTAAAGCTTATATGAGATTTTAATGACTGGAATTAAAGTGCAGTAATTTAAAATTTTTTGTAATTTTACAATTATATTACTATTCTATTTGTGTTGCTGCTGTTTTAAAGTGGAGCGTCACGCAATTTTTTTAATAGTGTAGTAAAGGTTCCTTTTGCCTAGAGCAGGGGTGCTCAACCCGTGGCCTGCAGAGCCCTCTGAAGTGGCCCGCGACCTCAAACCAGGGAAACGCATGCCCACGGTCGACAACCTATTGACCGTGATCTGGGCTTGCCGATCCTAGAACAACAGAGTGCATCGAGCTGGTGCCGGCAGCAGAGGAAGCTGTCGGCTGTGGAGGGAACAGGAACTGCATAAGCCGATGCTTCCTCTGTTGCGTCAGCTCCTGTCCCAGGTGGAGTGAGGCTAAGTGCACTTCAACTGGACCTTTCTAGCAGCTTGGAGAGCTACGCCAGCAGAAGCTGGAAGAGGAAAGGAAGGTCGGTGTATTATTAAACAACACATACACTGTGCTTTTGCAATAGGTGTATTAGCACCTATAAAAGGGTTAACAACTATTAGGCTGCTTTCATACCGATCCGCAGGTACAGCGCAGTGCACTTGCGGCTTTCCTACAGGTTAGCTGCCCTGAGCCATACATTTCTATTATATCCTGCAGGTTTGATGTGCTTTCTGAAAGTGCAGCACACCCACAAGATAAAATAGAAGTAAATGGCAAAGTGCAGCTAACCCGCAGGAAAGCCACATGTGCACTCTGTGTTTCACCTGTAGTGCATGTAAACCGCAACGCATCATAGCAGTCTTATAGGAGACTCAAGAAAGTAAGGGCCTGTTTATGTTTGTAGTTTGGAGGGGGGGGGAAACCCCATTATTAAGACGTGGTTTTAAAACCACTACACCCCACCTCTCCCCTCCCCGACCACTGGTGTAGCATCAGATGTGGCATTGGCAACCCTGCCCCATGCTCCAGGGGGCCAGTGGGACCTCCCTGTCTTATTCTGTTTTACATTTTGACAGGTGGGGCAGCAGGGGAATCATATACAGAAACCAAACCTCTCCATTTTCCTCCTGCAACTGCTGAAAGCTGGCATCTTCTCCTCTCCCTTCCACAGGCATTCAGTGGCTGCAGAAGGAAAATGTTCTATTCAAAATAAAAACAATTTAAATTCTAAACCATTTTTATTTCATTGTGGCCCATGACCAGTTACCAAATCACTCGCTCTTCAAAGGGTTGAGCACCCCTGGCCTAGAGGAAGGATTTATCTTACTTCTATCCCAGTGGGTATGGTCGTAAGGACTGGAAGTGAGTACAAATCTCTCCAAAGTGGATAAAGGCAGCAATAACAACACTTTTATTTATTCGGCTTCATTCACATCGGTGTATACATCCATACCTCCGTGCAGAGGGTCATGTTTATGGACCCAGGGAATGACAGGTGTTCCATGCAGCCAGTCTGAAAAACACAGCTGCTGTACAGGTCTTCTCGCACATGCTAGTGTTCACATTTGTAGAGGGATGGGCGCACAGCTCTAAATGCAGGTAATCTGGTGTCCACCCCTGTACGGATATAACCACTGCGGATACACGGAACACCTATCACTCCTTGGAACATAAACATGAGCCTCTGCACAGAGGTATGGTCTATGTGCCCCTATGAATGAGGCCTTGGGGTGAGAGTAAAACATGACAAACGTTCTAAGCCTTTCCCACTCGGAAATGGGTCAAACATTTTTTGGCTGGAAATATACTTTAAAACCCTGTTATTCACAGTTAAAGATCCATAAACCATGTTAGTTATTTATTGTTTCTGTTTCTTTCCTATAGGGGACATTCAGGTTGGAATGATGGATAAGAAGGGACAGTTGGAGGTGGAAGTTATACGAGCACGTGGGCTTGTAGTAAAACCAGGGTCCAAGACACTGCCAGGTGAGGTGTCATTATAAACTAGATATACTTACCGAAAGTCCTGCTTATATTAGCTGAAATGGGTACACAGCTGTGCATTCATTTGCCTGTGGATGTAAATGAAAAAAGAAAGTTTATGGGCTTGTTTGTGCTAAACATTTAGTAGTAATGTTAACCAGTGTGACTGATTTGTGGAAAGGTCATGCTGACATGTACCTAGAATTACAACATTTTATTCATTTCATTATCTTATCACATATAGTATGTTTTTAATAACAGGGAGTAAATGTGATATTTCTCTTTCAGTTCATGTAACGTGCAAGCAAAGATGTTGGCACAAAAAAAGTGGGTAGGGAATGTTGCTCTTTATAAAATATGCTGCACTCAAGTCTGAGCCATCAGGTCAACAGACTCATGTAATTTCTTGCTTTAAACAACACAGCACAATCAATGGATTTTACATTTACCCATTAGGTGAACAGTTTCCTGCAATTGATTGTGAATTTTGTTTTAAGGAGTATCTGAAATATCACATCATTAATTGAAGGCATAACACTATTAGCTACTTTAAGTCTGGATTCATATTTTTTTCATTTATGAAAGGATATTTAGGATGACCGGTTTCCTCCCACACTCCAAAGACATGCTGGTAGGTTAATTGGCTCCTGTCTAAATTGTCCGAGTTTCATTCCTGGCCACGCGGGATTTCTTGCATGGTAGGGGTTGGGGAAAGACCTGGCAACCTACCCTGTAAAATAATTGCTAAGATAATTCATGGAAGAAGTCGCTTACGAGTGACAGTCCATACAATCGCCAAGGGTCAGATACCACTGAATGGATAGATAGATAGATAGATAGATAGATAGATAGATAGATAGATAGATAGATAGATAGATAGATAGATTTAGGATGACATTAATGCCAATGGTATTGTCTTCCCTAAAGTGTATCTTTAGCCAGGCTATGGACATTGAAATCTTTCGAAATATATAACAAGCAGTAAGTCATCTTTTACAGGAGTAGCCAGGAGGTGGTAAAAAACCGCCTTCCTCTCCAACCCCCCACCTTCATGCAGACAGGTTAGTACACTTTGCTGCGATGTGACTGCTTTGCATTGCGGTGCAGCAATTTAATGCTTCATGCAGAAGTTGACAAGTGGCAGTTTTATGGGGCTGCATCACAACAGAGCCAAACACTTGGCTTGCAGTTGTGGCACAGTCCCAAAATATAAAATTTGCCATTCGAAAAAAAAAAAAAAAAAAAAAAAAAAAAAACCAATCTTCAGGAGGTGACAGTATGGCATCCTGAATGTCCCTCTACACTAGCGGTGTGTCACATTACACAGGCGGTTTGTGTGTCCCCATACATAGGTAGTCAGTGTGCCCCGTTGTTTGGGCAGTCAGTGTGCACCCTTACACGGGTAATTAGTGTGCTCCCTTACATTATGGTTAATGCATCCCCTTTCACTGTTGCCATTGAGTCTCCTTACATTGAGAATACTTACATTGGTACCCCTACATTAGTGGTCACTGTGTTCCTGTACATAGTGGTCAGTGTGCCCCCCTTACATTGATGGACCCAGGGCACCATGAAGCATCAGATGAAAGGCATGGAGGGCACAGTACACCCTCCTACTCCATGAACAACTTGCTGTTCCCCCTGCTGAGCTGTGGCTTATTAGCTATAGATGTCACAGTCTCTTTAGTGCCATGCTGGTAGCGTACAAACTCTGTGCTTGCCTTGTAGGGCTGGCAGTGTACAGCTAAGCAGCCTGTAAAGTTGGTGCCACAAACAAAATGCAAAGCACTTCAGAAACTGACAGCACGGCTCAGTGGAGGAAACTTTGAGGGGGAGGTGGGGTTGCAGTCAGTGCTGGGAAACATAAAAAAATATACCTTCAAGACCTGGCAGGAGGAAGGCTGTGGCCTGGCACTGGGCCACTGCCTGGCTGTTGAGAATGACTGTTTTAGAGCACCTGAAGCTGTAATATGAGATTCTTTATAAAATTACTATCTAAAGTTGGCCATAGACCTGAAATGAGCATTTGCTATCTAATTTCAGTTATACAGGGCAATTATTTCATGACTATAGTATCAGTAGACAACCCCAGATTACCTCTCCAAAGGGGGGAAGATTACTTGATTGAACTCATTCAACTGATACTGTATTGTTGCTCCTGAGATAAGTCAGCAATGGAGGTACCAGTCTGCATCATTTTCTGCCCTTCTCTCAGCAAAAGTCCTGTTTCTGTCCATGGGCACGTTTAAGAAAACCTTTAACAAGGATTGCTTATTCAGATGATAAAGCAATGCATGGGCAGATTATACTCTCTATAAAAAATATTACTGTTCACATTGTAAAGGAAGTCAAGTCTTGACATAGAACCGATGGATGTATAACATAAGTAGACCATACCCTTGTCTCATCTTCCTTTACCATGTAAATATGGGAGTATAATAATGTTTTCATGGAGAGTGTATTGCATGTCTTGCATTTTAAATACTGGAATAAAGGATACATTCATATTCAGGGTGCAACATGTCATTAAAGGACCCCCACTGCTCTCCGCTCCCCTGCTTTGACAGCTAGCAGGGATCTTCACCCCCTCTAGCTGTCAAAATTTTTTTAAAAACGCTGCCGTGTGGGGCTTCGCCACTGTCATCTTTTCGTTTTCAATAAACCACCATGGCACTATGGAGCACTGTGGTAGTTCATTGTGTCTTCCTGTCAGTGCATCAGCTTGCTCGGATGGGATGTATGGGCAATCAGTTATAATGACAGGTCTGCAGAACATCTGCATGGCATGTCAGAACTCTGCATCGCATCGTGCAATGCTTTACAGGCTCCTGCAACAAAAAATAATAAATGCACATTTTTTTACCTGCAAAAAAAATGTGCAGTTGTTATTTTTGGTCAAAAGGTGAACTTATCCTTTAAATAAAAAGAAAATGTTTTAGAGTAACTGACATGTGTGCCTAAAAACAGCACCTTAGTTCTCTAAAGTGTTGGTATTAGTACTAACCGTTTATTTGTGAATTGGTAAGTCTAAGTGAGCAACACATTGCATTTTGGTTCTCATGGTCATAGGCAGATTCACCTTCGGTGAAAACCACAAAACACTCAGTAGATCCAAAACTTTATAGGCATACCTCTAGAATGTGAAGCTCGTCCATGAAGGATTACAGGTTGTACGTTGTTTGCCATTGCCATATGCTAACCATTTGCTTGTTTTTTTCCTCTTGCAGCACCGTATGTAAAGGTGTATCTATTAGAAAATGGAGTTTGCATAGCCAAAAAGAAAACAAAGGTAGCAAGAAAAACGCTGGAGCCTTTATACCAGCAACTGTTATCTTTTGAAGAATCACCTCAAGGAAAGGTCTTACAGGTAAAATTGAACTAAATCGAATATAAGTATTGATAGACCATGAAGTTCTCCTGACTGAAAGGGCACAACAACATGTATATAAAACTACTAGACAACAGGGAGCATCAGAAGCCTTTAGCAATGTCTCTGCAACAGATTTACAGACCTGCACATCCGTATTCCTGGGCAGCAAAGTGCGACAGATTGCAAAACTCAAGGACAAACCTATTGCTGATAATAAAATAGATTTTCCTTCTAAATAGTTGCATAAATTGGAAATGGTCAGGTTTTATTCAGTGGCATGTGCAGAATTTAGAAAATCAAGGGAGGAATTTATTATATGTCACACTGCTCCTGCTTAGCATTGCTTTGCCTTGTGGCAGGATTTTCGGCAAAGAATAGCCTGTCAATATAACCCCTAATCCTTGATAATCTACCCTGTCTAAAAATTGTAATGAAGTCCTAGACTCTTTACAGAGTGGTCTAGTTCCTCAGCTTCAGAATGGAACACTACTGAATAAATGTCTTCTCTATAGGGTATAGCTCAGTAAACCGCTTACGTGGGGAAAACAATTAGTTAGGATTAAACTAGTCACTATACAAAAATTGGCTGCAGTAGCATGTGTGCTTGGGAAGGTTTTGACAGGTTGGGGATTTTTAAGATTGGCCATTTAAGAGAGATTAGATGTAGGCTGCTCTGGTTCTAAACATGTACGCACTGCTTCAGTAAAAAAAAACCAATATGGTTTCTTTAAGCCTAGGAGTAATTTCAGCAGAGTCTCCTTACATTGAGAACACTTACACTGGTACCCCTACATTAGTGGTCACTGTGTTCCTGTACATAGTGGTCAGTGTGCCCTCATCAGGCACACACTCATCCAAAAGGAGAGGATACCCTCTTTATAACGCTCAGCATACAGACACAGCTGTAGCTGCAGGAATAGCAAAGACTCGGGAGAGGAAGGCAAAGCTATACACTTATGTCCCCTGCGTTCTGAGTCAGCTATCTTGGCAGTGATTTTGTGCAAAAAAACTGACTTTGTTGCAGAAAATTCCTCCCTAGATAACACAGAGGAGGGAAATATTCTTGGGGGAGCTAAGGTAAACACCGAGGAGCCTGAGGAGACAACGGTCTACATCAGGTCCATGGGGAGTAAAACTGAAAGCCATCCTAGAGCCAGCCTGTAAGCAGCCTCCTAGTTGGGAGAGCCTTAAGACCTGCTACCCATGCCTATGATCTGACATATTGCAAGTATGTAAAGTGCGAACGTTTCCATAGAGATACACACAAACCAACTACAGGAGCAGGGGAAGCTACATAGCCATCTGTGCTGTAGGGCAACAGCAAGGAGAGTCCATGAAGGACGTGTGCAGACAAGTGCCATGACAGCAAAGGAGGTTGAGGCAGGCCTGCTTACATCGTTCTCATGGCAGGATTGGGGTACAGACTCCAAGGCAGTGCTGAGGGTCAGCTGATCCAGAAAGCTGCAAAGGGAGCTTTCTTGGCTCTAGAGAATCTTGACTGAAGAAAATATGTCTCCTTTGTAAAAATTTAAAGTCAGCAGCTACAAAAACTAGCTGCTGACTTTTAATAAACAGTCTGTCACCTGTCCCTCAATCCAGCATTCTGCTCAGCCCAGCAGTTTTCAGTTTGTGTCTGCTGTCCCCGGCGCCGGCATCTTTACTATGGGCACCCGGCTGTGGCACCTTGCAGCTTCACAGCCAGGTGGCCACTGAGCATGTGCGAGTGGCACTGCGCACTGTAAATGGTCCCGCAGTCTTCTGGGACCTGTCACGTGTCACAGAAGGCTGAAAGGGGGGGGGGGGGATTTCCATTTCTAATCACCTAGGCGGGTACCCATCCTCCCCCCATCCCCAAAAGCTCAATTTCACAAATAGGAGCAGGGGAGGAGGCCTTAAAGCAGAACTTCCCCTTTTTTGTGGAGCTCAGCTTTAATAAGAAAGAAAAATTACAGTTGTATTTCACTGATTAGAAAAGATGTCCGTTCTCCTAGAACACTAGCAAGAAACAGAAGCATGATGAGAATGGAAGGGGTTATACACTAACAGTTTTAGTGTTCAATTTTCCTGTAGGCGGCAGCATGACCTATACGTTTCAGACTTCCTTCTACCCTGTGTCTCTTAAGGAACAATTGGGATACAAGGTTACACATTTATGTAAAACATTATAACACAATTTTAATATACTTCTGGGTGGCATAGAATATGCGTTTCCCAAACTTAGTTGTTTTATAGAAAAACTCTTTCAGCTTACATATAGGTTGGGAGGAAAAGGGGGCTCTGCCTTTTATTACAGAACCTTGGTTATGTTTTCCTGTGGGACATTCAGCATGGCCTGTAAAATCAGACATGCAAGTCTTGGGCCAGTCTTGAAATTAGATAGTTAGACCAGTGTGAAAATCCACTATGGACCAGTGGACTATGGATGGGTTATTTGAAAAAAAAAAAAAAAAAAAAGGGAATGGAAGTGAAGTTATTGGCAATTGTTGTCAATCACGTGTACCTTGTTATTTATAGAATAATTTAACATGAATTCTGATTGGTAGCTATTGGCAACACCAGTTGTATTTTTATATTCCTTTCTCCAGTTTAGTCATCATTACTGTAAAGGCACAGACTGATTCTATGGTCTACTTTGGTCTATTTAGAAAGGATTTCACACAACTTATTCCAAGAATTCTCATATTTTTCCAGTTGAATCCAATTAGAAGAATGGAGAAAGCAGTGGGAATCTTGTGTGAAAACCTTTAAATGTGGTGATCTAGAATATGTAGATTTTTTTCAGTTTTAATCAGATTGTTCAATTAATTTCCTCTTTTTTTATATATCTACAGATAATTGTGTGGGGTGACTATGGACGTATGGATCATAAATCTTTTATGGGTGTGGCACAGATACTTTTAGATGAACTGGACCTGTCCAATATGGTGATTGGATGGTTTAAACTATTTCCCCCCTCCTCTCTAGTAGACCCAACATTGGCTCCTTTAACCAGGAGAGCGTCTCAGTCATCTCTTGAAAGTTCCACGGGACCTTCTTATTCTAGGTCATAGCACCTGTAAAAAACTGTTGTCTCTGCAACCAGCGTTTCAAAAATAAATAATGACAAAATCACAAGATAACGAAATCTGACAGGTCGCACACCCTGGTAAACACTGCATGCTTAATTTTGTGTCTTCTGAGCCTGTTGCTAGGGATATTGGGCGATCCTGCACTCTCTCAGTGGAAGTCGCACACATTGTGCGCTATAGAAGGCTCTCAGGTGATGGAGGGGAGCTAGCCGACGGCATTGAAGACCAGTGAAGCTCAGTTCTAGTTAAGTCTGAAGCCATGGATTATTGACACTAACAAAAGAAATATTTCACGCGACGAAAGTCATCTTCAGTGACATATCACGTTGTTGCAACATTTTCTTTTTTATATTTGCCCCCAAAGATCGGGAACGCCTAAGAAGGAGCCCTGAGTAAGGAGATCGATAAAGTATGGGGTACTACAAGGAGGAAGTCCGATGGAACGCCAGTGTTATCAAGAATGATCATTATAGAAGGTCACACATGCCCATAGTTTGAAGCAAAGTTGGTTTAGCAGTAGCATAAACGGAGTCCACTATTTGACGAATTTCACCGGGGAAGAATTTTTCTGTGGTTATCCAGTACTTCAGAGACAAAAAAAAAAGAATTTTTTTGTTTTGCATGAACATGGATCTACGTGAACACTAAAATAATTTTCTTTGGGCTGCAACTTGCAAAAAATATGAAACAAAAATAATAAAAAGATACAGCCATTTTCAACAATTTATATTCTTTTTAAGAAAAAAAATTTCACTAGTGCATGGTTTAAAAAAAAAAAAAGGGGGAGCGAATGCAACGGCGTGAAACAAAGACAAACCACGTTTATCATTCTAAAAAAAACCAATCATGGTCTGTGTTTTTGCAGGCATATGTTAAAATAAAATTTCTTTCTAGCAAATATTTAAATTTCTCTTTATGTGACAAAAAATGTAACATATATGATTTATTTAAATGTTAAAGGTACAAACCTTGTAGAGTTGAACATGTACATGTCCACCATTTCTTCTTTCCTAGGTCCCTGTTTTTTGCATTGTGTCCCACGATCTTCCCAAACCTCTTTTTCTGATGCCATTCTTTCAGGTTGGTTGATGGCACACCACCTTACCCTGTGTGCCTTGATTGCTTCTCTGTCCCCATGTTTGGAAACTTTTTGCAGATTTTTTTCCTGCATTCTTGAAATGTTTGACAGAATTCCTTGTTTGACCTGCCAGATACAGTGGAGGTCATCCTCTTGATGTCCATTGCATAGCAACCTTTCTTGAAAATCAAGCATGTTGAAAAGAATTTTGCAACATGGCTTGAGAATACCTAAGGTAATTCAGCATGTATTTGATATAAAAGATATTTGAACTTTTTTGCAATATCTTGTACAGTGCATGGTAACGATTTTTTTTCACCATCAAATTGAGTCTTAAAGGGAATAAAATTATATAACTAAGTGGCCATTGTCCATCTTCGTACATTCTCAGTGCCCAGCATTGTTAAACTCGAGAGTTCAGTGGAAAGTCCTCTCTTTGAACAAAAGAATATCCACTATTTTTCAATTAAGGTATGCCCTTTTTGCACTTTGTCGGAGTTGTGTATCATACAAGCAACGTTTTTACTTGATCTTTTATTTTCAATGCTACAAAGGTCAAACTTTTCAAAGTTGCTTTGTTATGGAAGGCAGTTCAGTCGGCATCATGGCTGACCACACTTGCTGATTTTTTCTGGCCGATGGCATGCTTCTTTAAATGAACTGTTATGTTATGGTGAAGTAGTTCTAACACTGGGCTCTAGCTGCCATATTTGTGGTCCTGTAACTTTTTAGGAACACAACCATTGAGCTCTGTGGGACCTCGATGTTCACCCCCTCCCCCTTCCCAACTTCCTGAGGTAAAACCAAAAATATCTGTTTGGGTGTGTTGCCGATTTGCATCTTGAAATATGAAGACTCTAATATTATTTATCATAGTGTACTGGTTCAGAAAGATGAATTGTGACATTGCCTTTATTTTGTTTTTTACTTTCTTAATCTTCAAAATTAGTCTTAAAGTGAACCTACAGCCATGTTATAGACATTAAAGTGTTTACATATTCTTAACAAGTGAAAAACGAAGATTAAAGCAAGCCATCTGTAGTTAAAGGCACTGTGGAGCAATTCATCCTCAAGGCTAGTTAACGACAGAGATGCTGAAGTCAGGTTGCAATCCCGTTCTGAGCAGCTTAGAGCACTTGCTGTTTGCTCACATTAGAAGGCTGGCAAGCTGCCAGAGTACTAAGGCCATTTAATGCCTCTACTCTGACCTACGAGGATGAATATCTCCACAGTACCTGCAACTACAGAGGTCAGTAAGGGCTTGTTTTAAAGCTCATGTATCGTTTGTTCAGAATAGGTAAATATTTGAATGCCCATAGCCTGGCCACAGGTTCACTTTAAGGTAACCATAGACATTATATATTTATTGGGTGCCTCCTAAATACTCCAAAAAATGTACAACCATATTCTGTGAGCATTTGATTTTCTATTCATGAGTGATGGAGAACTCTCCAAAATTGCCAACACAGTCTGTACTCTTTTTCTTATTTGGTCATGTCTTAGTCGGTCATGTCCCAAAGCTTTTATTTTTTTTTTTTTTAGCCTTTTGTACCCTACACTTTACCCAAACCTGTTGAAAGTGAAAGGGCCATTGACTCTGTATCTAATGTCTATGTGCATCTTTATAACTCTTGACTCTCTAGCTGGTGTGGAGTTACAATTTCCAGAATGTTTTGCAGGCTAGACTTTGCAGTTCCACAACAGCTGGATTACTCCCAAGTTAGTGTTTCTTCCAAAAATGAACAATAAATTAAAATATAAACATGCAATTTATGTGCATGGGCTGTAAATTGTTATATATAAAAGTATACTTACATGTAAGTTTTTGCTCATGTACACAAATGTTAACAGGCATATTTATACATGTGTTTAGATGGATATACACATCATTGAGCACATCTATAGATAGTATGGAGGATTTTATTTTACAAATAGCAGGTCATTAAAATATTATCCCTATACTTTAATCCCCTCTAATTCTAATTGGGTAAAAAAATGTACCTTTGGGCAAAAAAAAAAATGTAATTGCCTTTTAATTTATGTTATCGTCTTTCCATCAGGTAGATAGATTATCCTTTTTTGTTAACTATAAAGCTGTTTATCAAAGTAATTTTAGATGGTTGTGAACCAGCAAAACAAAAAAGTATATAAAAAAAATATATATATATATATAAATATATATATATATATATAAAAATATAAAATACCATCTACAGTATCATCATGTCATAAATGAAAGTAAATCGATGTATTGAAAATGCAGTGTAATATGTTATTTTCTGAAAAAAAAAAAAAAAACAAAAATAAATCCCAAGATGCATTTTTTCTTTCTAATTTTTATAGGGAGAACAAGACCGTATATAAGATTTGTACATAAATATCATTATGCAGTATTTATTTTAAAGATGAAAAAATTGATGTATTTTTTTTTTTTTATTTCACATGATGTCTGCAGCTGAGCTCATGGTATAGTCATGTTACTCGCGCTATACCTGGGACCTCTGCAGTCTTGTACATAGTATGTTTAAAAAAAAAATTTAAAAAAAAAAAGCAAGAGAAATTTACAGTTGGGTAATATGGCAGATTAGCCCTGCAATGAGCACCAACTAATGTAAAGCATATTAATTACGGTGGTGGTATTTAAGACTTTCAATAAAACATTTTCTTTACACATTTGGAATATGATGTATTTTTTTCCTCTAGTCATATTTATTTTTTGATCCTAGTGTGAAATCAGTGGATTGATTGTGAGTGAAGTTTGTAACTTAAAGGGAAAGCACTTTGAGAAAAATATGCCATTGCTGACTTTCATGCCATTTGCCTGTCTGCCATGCTAACCTCCTGGCTTCAGTATTTTCTGAGTCACTAACCTGAAACAAGTATAATTCACACTTCTTTTGGGTCAGTGACTGAGACATACAGAACTAAGAGGATCAACATATTGATTAGCATTTTCAAACCCAGCTCTGCAGCGGCAGCCTCTATATTTCTTTTATATTTGTTATAAAGCCAAATTGAAATATAAGTTAAATCTGTTCAATACATTCCTGGTGCAACAAAACTGAAAGTATTACAGGTTTTTTTTTTTTATAGAGAGCAGCCATAGCCTTTGTAGAAAGGCCTGTCCCCTGCCAGCATGGGAAACTTGTTCTTTGTGTGGAAGCAGAGGTTTCTCTGCAGAGGTCTGACACGGCTCCTGAGGAGTCAGAGCTAAAGCTGTCTAATCCGCAGGTAGCATGAGCTTTGCTGGCAAAACTAGAGGTCTGGCCCAGTAGGGCATGTGTTGGATCTTTGCAGAGTGGGCATTTCTTCCACACAGAGAGCAAGGGTCCTTCTCTAGCATCTCGGCAAGAGACAGGCTTTTCTGCTCAGGCTGTGGCTGCTTTCTGGAGGTAATGGACAATGCTGGCAGGGCCATGGATAAGGGGGTGCCACCAGTCCTCCTGTATTGGGCCCAGCCCAGCAGAGGGACTCAGGCAGCTGGATGAATCAGATGTGGGCAGGAAGGGTGATCGGCATGACGGGGGGCAATGTCATATTTATCAGCCCCTTCCTTTCTCGAATGAACACAATGAGTGATTGATACCAATCAATCACAGTGTTCATTCATAACTGAAGCATACAAAACAGTTTTTTTTTCTTGTGGGAATGGAGGGGGGGGGGGCTTGTCAGGTTGGATGTATGGGGCCCCGTGGTTTGTGGGGCCCTGTCTGGTTAGCTGCATGGGGCCCCGTGGTTTCTAACAGCAGCCCTTGATGCATGCATCCACACATGTATAACAGCTGGCACACATATGGGTATATTTTTCAAAACATAAAATTTTACAATTTCCATTGGGGCACAACTCAAGCCCCGACTATTTAGGCTTGGCTCACCTGACTAGATAAAATAGTAGAGATGGAAG